GTTGTGAGCGACCATGGACCTCGCGACGGGGGCCATGGGCAGCCTGCTCCTCAAGCTTGGCCAACTCCTCACGGAGGAGTACAAGCTGCAGACGGGTGTCAAGGAAGATGTTGAGTATCTAAAGAGAGAGCTGGAGAGCATGTATGCTGCCCTCCGCAAGGTTGGGGGCGTGCCACGAGACCAGCTCGACGAGCAGGTCAAGTTCTGGGCCAACGAAGTCAGGGACTTGTCATTCATAATGGAGGACATCATTGACAAGTTCCTGGTGCGCGTCGAGGGAGCTGAGCCAACCATCAAGCCACACAAACTCAAGAAGCTCATGAAGAAGATGGGGAACTTGTTCAGCAAGAGCAAGACTCACCATGAGATCTCGGATGAGATCAAAGACATCAAGCTCCGCGTCAAGGAGGCGGCTGACCGACGTGATAGGTACAGGGTCCACGACATGGTTGCTAATCCAGCTGGTGCAACCACGGTTGATCCTCGCCTATTGGCTCTGTACAAGGACCAGAAAGAGATCGTTGGTATTGATGATTCATTGAATGATCTAACCAAGATGATGAGTGATGGAGATGGTGATGCATCCAAGCAACTCAAGATACTCTCTATTTTCGGATTCGGAGGCCTTGGCAAGACAACTCTTGCCAAAGCAGTGTATGATAAGCTTAACACGCAGTTTGATTGTTGTGCTTTTGTTCCGGTAGGACGGAACCCTAGCCTGAAGAAACTTCTCAATGACACACTCCTTGAAATTGCTGGGCAAAAGTACCTGGAGTTGGATGAAAGGCAGCTAATCAACAAGCTCCGAGGATTACTCGAGAACAAAAGGTATGTGACCTATTACGTAGTTTCATATACTTCAAGTAGTAAATAGGGGGTTGCATGAAAGGCTACCAATAGTAAATGGGGGGGGGGGGATAGTATCAACCCTGAGAAGAAATGAGTTAGAGATGAGTGGAAATTTTGGTTTGAGACATATTACAAGACAAGGGTTTCGATGTCCTATCATCACTTTGTGTATTTTGCAAGAAAATATGTACTTGTTTGTGCATAATAATGTATTGTATGGAGTTTTTCTACCTTCTTTACTATAATTTGGGTTGGGACTTCCATCAAATGTTTGATGTTGTTTCATATATTCTAGAATTTCTTACAATTGATGTCAATTCAAAAATATATCTAATAGTTGAAAGTATCTAGATTAGGAAATATTGTTAATCAAAACTAGAATTCTGGACGATGAAATGGAATTAAACTCTGCGCGTGCATACATGTCTCTCTCCTGGATCCCTCCATGCCGTGATTCAACAATGCAACTTTAGATTCCTCAACAAGTTGGCTAACATGCATCCATCCTCTTTTTAAAGATATTTTGAATACTTAGGGGCCTTATAAAATATTTCCACTAATTTGTTATAACCCTTGCACTATGGATGGTGATTACAGGTACTTGATTGTCATTGATGACATATGGGATAAAAAAACATGGGAACTAGTCAAGACTGCTTTGGTGTGTAACAATTGTGGAAGCAGGATAATAACAACTACTCGTATACTCGAAGTTGCCACAACGGCCAGTGAAGTATACAAGCTACAACCACTTTCTCTTCATTTATCCAAGGATTTATTTCATAGAAGATTATCTTGTGGTGCAATAGAATGGCCTAATCATCTGCCAACAGAGGTATACAATAAAATTTTACATAAATGTGGTGGTGTACCGTTGGCTATAATCACAATAGCTAGTTTGCTTGCTGGTAAACCTGTGGAGTTTTGGTCTAAGGTATACACTTCAATTGGTTTTGGGCATGAAGAAAACGAAGATGTGGAGAACACAAGGAAAATACTTCTATTTAGCTATTATGATCTACCTTGTCACCTAAAGACTTGCTTGTTGTATCTGAGCATCTATCCTGAAGATATTCTGATTAAAAAAGATAGTTTGATATGGAAGTGGGTTGCCGAAGGTTTTATCCATGAGGAACCAGGGGTAGGACTATTCGAGATTGGTGAGAGGTACTTCAACGAGCTGGTGAACAAAAGCTTGATAATGCCGGTAGAGAGAGATCAATATAATGGTATCATAACTGGTTGTCGTGTCCATGACATCATGCTTGATGTGATATGCCTATTGTCAAAGGAAGAAAACTTTGTTACTGTATTGGATAGTAACGAGCAATATACAACTTCACATTGCAAAGCTCGTAGGCTAGCTGTTCAACATATAGGCCAACCTCTGTCCAGCACGTCAACATTACAAGCAAGGTCACTTAATGCAATTTGCAATGCTGAGATGTTCCCATCACTTTCATGCTTTGATGTTTTGCGTGTCCTAGCTTTGGAAGGCAATTGTAGTTCGTATAATCCTAATTATCTTGAGCATGTTGGAAAGTTAGTTCACTTGAGGCACCTCAAACTAGGGAGCATTGGTATCCGTGAGCTCCCAAAGGAAATAGGACATATGAAGTTCTTGTTGGTATTGGACTTGGGTCAAAATAGGATAAGTGAACTTCCAGAGAGTATTGGTGGACTAAGTCAACTAAAGTGCTTGAACATGTGTGAAACAGAGATTGTAGTGCCATGCTGGATTGGGAATTTGACATCTCTGGAAGAGCTATGCCTAGGAGAAGTTGATGTGCAATCCAACTTTGTGATAGAACTGGGCAAGTTGACAGAGTTGAGGAAGCTCCACATTTCTGAAGAATTAGACTTATCCGATGATTACGCAATGAATAGTTGGGCTGAGTCTGTAGCCAAACTCAGCAAGATCCAAGTCATAGACATTGAGTCAATTTATGGGTGGAGAGTCTCCAGTGATGAAGAGAAACCCTGGGAACAGTATGCCCTCTCTCCACAACTCCGTGTTCTGCGCATGGCCTACCTAGAACCTGGGCTGGTAGCAAGGATCAATCCGAGGCTTCTTCCCAACCTGTCCCATTTAGAACTGTTTGTATACAGTCCAGATCTAGATGTGTTCGGGAGCTTGTTTCCCTCCGGCTGGACATGTTGTCAGCTCTCCACCATAACACCACGGGAGGTGCAGGTGCCTTCCTCAAGCTGAGGGTATTCAAGACACCAGCAACTCTTCGCTCGTTTCAAGAGGGAGATATGCCGGTCCTTGAGTCTCTCGGGTTCAGCGTCGTAGCACAGTCTAATGATGATGTCATTAGCTTTGACTTTGACTTTGGTAGCCTAGGGAACCTCCCTTTGCTTCAGCATGTCTTCGTCACTTTATATGCCCCTCCCGCGGACCACGTGAAGGTTGAGGCAACGGCAAAGCGTGCAATTGATATGATTCCCAACCGTGTCAGACATTATATCGCCACAAAGGATATAAAGGAGTGGAGTCGGAGGTACGTAACTAAGTGTATATTTATTTATTCGTTAGTGCTGATCTCCACAGGCAGCTAGCCACGCAGTATCTCACAGATCTTCTTTTCCCCCCTTTTTTTTGCCAGATTGACAAACAGATTGAGCTAAGCTTGCGGTGCATCTTCACCTGCGGGAATCAAGAGGTACATAACTCCCTCTATATGTATTTATGTATACACCTTATCTGTTTTTTTCTTTCTAGAATTAATAACAGCAGTTGCCAGTCAACTGTAAAAAAGTCGATTACCAATCTGCGCGCACGATACATATGTCTCTCTCTCATCATTTTAAACAGTAACCGTTGATACTCCAAGTATCCATTTACTGAGAGTTACTCCATATATGCAGGCTGGCAGCGGTGTTAACAATCACCGCGGAAAAAGAAAAAATAATATCAGGAGGCTTCCGTTTGTTTGCCCTATTTATTGTCTTTTAAGCAAAGAAAAAAACACAAAAAAAATCTAGTTATTTTACTCTCTTTTCAAGAAATGGAAAATGAAACCGCACAAAGCCAAAAAGAAAAAAAATTCTAAAAAAATGCTTGTTTGTTTTACTGCCTTTTGTAGTAAAAGAAAATGAAAATCACACAAAAAAATTGTTTATCTGCCTTTCGTAGTAATGGGGAAAAATCACACACAAAAAAGTTTGTTTCAAGAGTAGTCTGTTGATTCGCTGTTCACTCAGAAAAAGAATTGTAAAAGAGGGTCTTGGGGTTTCGTCACAATTTATTTGGTGTGTCATTTGGTTTTGTATCTTAGGTCTTGGTTTTGGAGATCGTGCTTGTCCGTGTGTGTCTTGTTCTTTGGGTTTGGGTTTTTGGTTTGGTAGGGTTTGATGTGTATATGGGGGTGTGTGGAGTGGGGGTGTAACTCCGCCTATGCTAAGATGATGTTACGCTTCATGTTGCATTAGCCGGTCTCAAGCCCGGAGAAAGGAGGAGGGGCCAAACTCTGTTTATTATGAAATTGTGTGACCATCTTATCTTCTTATGCTTGATTCTACCCATTACCTGTAGCATTTGCAGAGGCCGGGGAGTCCCCCCTTTTCGGAAAAAAAACCTGTAGCATTTGCAGAACCAGAGTATGCAGCTGGTTTTTGGCATTTCCTTTTTGCCTCTTAAAGTTCCATTTCCATTTAGTGTTATTTTTCCTGAGGGTGCAGCTATATCCTGGCTTCCGTCCATACCCATCTCGTACATGATGTCTAGGAGATCTAACGGGCAAAAGAAGTATCAGATATGGCATGTTTGTGTGTGAAAGTTTTGATGTAAAGGTGAGGAGTCAGTATTTTTCTGTCTGTAGTTTGATTCATGTTTTTAGGATCTGGATTGACAAACTGAAGCTCTGGTTGAAAGAGCAAACTTATGCAGAGAATTCGTTGTTGTTGATAGGAAACTACTCTTGGGACAGGCTTACGCCAGATCAATTACCAGCTGCAGATCTTCCTATTTGGATTGCTGCACAAAGGGCAGTCTCTCGTTATGAAGGATCTCTGCAGAAGCAACACTAAAGTCTCATATTGAAACAAAGCAATCTGAAGGTTATTCAAGGTTAGATTCCGAGTGGCGCAACTTTGCTACTTGCTATTTTAGGGGCACAACTTTGGTTTCTGCTTTATATCAACTTAGGCAAATCCACTTGATTAGTATTAGCGGAGAACCTCATAAGCACTTGCTTATTATAAGATTCCACAGTTCACATTCTCATTTTCCGTTGTGTACATGCTTCCATGCCACCAGAACCCCGAAAGTACCGCTGTCACCCTTATTTATCAGTTTCTTTTCTTTTCCTACATATATTATCGTTGAAAGAAGTGCGATATAATCTGCATTAAAATTTATACTACAGGGTTTTCCCTGTTTATTTGTGGTGCCTCCGTTGGTACTTGACCACTATATATTCATGAATTTATGAAGTATATTCTGCTTTGGCGAGTGCTAGGCGCCGGCGCACCGGCCCAAATTTGGGCCGGTCGGACCAACACCGCACGATTAAACAATTAGGAGCCACACGATTCTCTTCTTCCTCCCTCAGCGCCTTCTTTTAGAAAAAGTTCCCAGTGCCGCCATGGACGAAGACGCGCCAGCCTTGAAGCACCTCCCCAAGTGTCTCCCCTATCGCTGCCCTCGCCGCCGGTCGCCACCGCCATCACCGGTTGCCGCCTTCGTCATCGGTCGTCGCCGCCGCCTCCTGTGTTTCTCGCCATCATAACATCTGCCTGCGGTTGCAGCTCCCCTGGGGATGATTGCAGCTCTGTGGCCGCCCCTCACCGGCTCACCGGGGCCGCTCACCGGCTCATTGTCGCTGCTCGCCGGGCCCGCTCGCTGATTGGATCGTTGCCGCAAAAAATCGGTTGCTAAAAATAACTGGTCGCAGCTCTGCTTCAGGCAGTTCCAGCAAAATCGAATGCTCGTTGTAGCAAAATCAAATGATGGTTCCAGCAAAAATGTGCCTCACCGCCACACCTCATGAAGAAATTATGTTCCAGCAAAAAACCTGACAATGCAGCTCTGATCCACCGGCTGTAGCAAAAAATGTACTAGATCCAGCAAACCAAGAAAACGATGGTGGCAAAAATTGCGAAACAAAAATTGAAGTTGTCCCAGGAAAAGTAAATAATGCCGATGTAGCAAAAAACCAAGCTTGTTCCAGCAAATCAAAAAGTCAGTGATAGCAAACTTGCAAATTTGGCGGTGGTCTCAGCAAACCCAAACGCCCGTGGTAGCAAAAAGGAGATTGGTTCCAGCAAAATCAAACGCCTGTGGTAGCAAAAAAGAGTAATGGTTCCAGCAAGAAAAGCAAACGATGGTAGCAAAAAATCCTCCGTCCATCCGCTTGTTGTTGATTCCAGCAAAAATCCATGTTGGTTCCAGCTCTCCTGCTACATGGTTGCAGCAAAATCCCCTGCTCATCGCACGCGGGGTCATGCTCGCCATCTTGTTGTTTGCAACATCGACGTTGCCGGCCAGCAGAGCGTTGGCAGCTAGCGGCGACACTCGTCGCTGTTTCCACCGCTTGCTACTGCTACTTGCAGCTCCACTAGATGTGATTGCGGCTCGCCTCGCACAACACATCAACAGCTCGTACGCCGGCCCCGTGCGGTAGCAGCTTCGCTGGCAAGCAGTTGCAGCGGTGGTCGCGGCAGCGAACGCCGGCGGAGGCAGCTGGGCTTGCGGGAGGGAGGGGAGGTTGTTGACTGGAGGACAGCGAGATGGATGGGCAATGGATAAGAACGAGAGGAGAGCCACCCGTGTAAGCATATAAGGGAGTCACATGGGCCATTAGCAGGCCACGTGGCAATACAAGTTGGGTGACGCATGCGGGATCGAAGGGTGGGCGTCGCAAGATCGGAGCGCGACGATTCGACCGGCCGAAAGCTTCTCCGGTGCGCCGTACCTAAATGTTTCCCTTCTGCTTCTGCTTCAAGCCAATTGTTTTTGCCTAGAATTACCCTTGCAAACATATAGGAACCAGCAAGCAGAGAATCTTGTGGCAACAATACTTGGGAGATAATGAAAGCTTTCTTCGGCATTTTATTTGCCAAGTCTACTCTCCAGGTATCTAGGATTTGATACCTAAACACCTTTTCTTACCTGTAGCCTGTAGGTTATGGGTATAACTATTTATATTATGATTATGTAGTATTCGTCATGTTGTGTGAAATATGTAACCATTGGGAGATGGTCTAGTGGAAGTGTGGAACAGAGGACTGGCCAATGTGGAAAATGTTGATGGATCTTAAGCATAGATAGCCCTTCAGCAGAGCTGTAGTAAACAATGTGCCGAAGGAGATTCAAAACTCTCCCTATTTTACTTTTGATAACATTAAAAGTAGACGCATCTACAATGATGCATATATTGTTGTAAACTTGCCTTGAGATAACAGAACGGGTAACACCACCATGATGCAGAAATTCAAGTGCCTTTTGCAATGTGAATGACAGTTAAGACTGAATATTATCACACTTGCCTGCAGAATAGTTGTAGTTGCACAGTATCTGGCTAGTACTTACCAAGAGGTTAGCGATTGAATACTAACTATGTAAGCATGTTCCATCTTGATGCTTACCTTCCCTGGTGCATACACAAACAGAAGACTGTACTTATCCAAGTTGCAATCCCCTGTTCACCGGTGCTCCTCCCCCCTCGCGTCCCCTGTTCACGAGGAGAGGAAACCGCGGTCGCTAAAGCCCCCGACACGAGAAAAGTGACGGAGAAGAGCGGGGAGGCCCGAAGGGAGAAGAATGAATAGCGCGGCAGCAGAGGTTCGTCACTGGCAGCTGGAGCGGTGGTCGAGGGCGACGGCATGGGTCTTCCCAACCATGTCTTTGTTTCTTTTCCTTTTTTTCAGGAGAAAGAGATTTTTTTTTGAGGGGAAGGAGAAAACGAGATTTTTTTTTGAGGAAAAGGAGAAAAAGAGATAGGCCGAGGCTGCACTCAACTGGGCCGAAAGCCCATCGTTCCCGCTAGCAACTCCATCCCGCGTTCTGGACTTCTGGTGCCCATTTTGGTTTTCGGGTACCCCTATTTCTCGCATTACGTGAGTAGAGCCGTTTCTCCCGCTGAAGACGCCGCGCAGTCGGGCCGGCCCACTGTAGTTAATAGTTTCTGAAAAACGAGAGTTAAAAAATGGCGCTAGCTAGCGAGGGATCGATCAGTTGATTCCCGGCGCTGCTAGCCACTGTGATAT